CCCCTTTGGGATTAATAAAGTATTTTTGAATTTGAAAGTTTTTGTTTAATTTGCATAAAAAACAAATACAGTGTACTGTACTTTCATTATCCTCTGCATTGCTGTTCATTGTTTTATTTTGACTGCAGTTTTGATAATTTGATATTAATTTTGGAATCCCACAAGAGGAAAATAATTTCCACAAACTGTATTCAGCTATAAACGACCACATTTCAATGGGTATAGGCTCTGTGCACATGCGTCCTGAATCACTTCCCCTTTGACTGGATGTCGGCATTCCAGTTTCCGGTCTAATCCCCGGTCTCGGTGAAAATGGCGTTTTCTAGATGTTTACAAGAGCTGCCCAAGATAAATATCAGCGATGTTCATCGTATTGTTGATGGCTGGTCCCCTGCTCCGACAAGCAAACGTAACAAGGGATTTAAATTGTATATCTCAAGTTACCTGCACAACTACGAGGGTAAGTAACGTTAGTTTGATCGTTGTGATGTTGCTAACTGTTTGCAGCTAACGTTAGGCTATTAGCAACACGACCATTTTTGTGTATACTCACGTTATAGAAACAGGTTTTCCACACTTAAACAAAAGGCTCATATTTTGTGATCATTCTACTAACATTCTGCTCTTCTCAGTTTCTAGCAAAAATCAGGACACAGGTGAAGTCGTTGTCAGGGCTCTGTGTCACAGGTCCATGAAGAAAAATGAAAAACCTCACAGTTTAAGTGTAGGGTGAAGATAGGATTGTTCAGATGACAGTTTTAAGATTGTTGGTTCAGTAACCCGACGTTCCTAATGTTAATGGGGATTTAGCTAAGGTGGTAATTAATTCTTAAATAAAAATAAAATGGAATTGGCTATTTGATGAATATTAACACGTGAGTTTGGCCTTGCTTGTCCCCATTTGGTTATTTGCTGCATGCATTGTTCTTCTTTTATGGTTGTTATGTGTTACTTTTAACCCAGTGTTAATTTGGTAATTCATGCATATTAGTTTTACTTAAATCTAAAGAATACACTCACAGTCTCTGTAACATTATCCAGGTATTTTTACCTAGCGGGTCTCCTCTGGGTTAAAAGTGTTTTGAAATCAAGTTATCTTTATCTCATCCATTCATTTAAGATGTAATCTTGTGATAATTGTATTACACTACTCTTGACCTTCATAGAACATACTCCAAACTAAATATATAATCACATAACATGATACTATGGTTCTATGACATTAGTTATAAAAAAATATTTGGGAAGCAAGATTGCATCATGAAAGAATGGCTGATGAGTGACCAAGCTAAGATAATAAGTTCTTACTATGACATTCTTATGCAGGTGGTCCTGAAAGACTCGTGTCCTGTGGAGCTGATTCACCACAGCTGTACGTGTGTTGCTGGTGCAGCATTATGCAACCACTGTGTGGCTTTGCTGTTCCAGTCAGCACATTATTCTGAGCTGAAACTGTCAGTGGTCCCCCCTGTACTAAGCTGTACAGAAGGAGAACAGCAGTGGCACAAGCCCAGAACTTTAGTAAGTTTTCTCTTCAATAATAGACTCAATTTATTACATTTTCTTGCCGTATAACTTGTAACTGTGTCATGGATAACTGAATAGGGTATAAAACCTGGCCCCGTGGACAAGATGACTGTGCTGTCTGCTAAACCGAAGAGTGGAGCAACAACAGAGGGTGTAAGGTAAAAAAAAATCAATAAAAATTCTGATGTATTACAACAGTGTTTCTCAACCCTGGTCCTCAAGGCACACTGCTCTGCATGCTTTATAGATTTCCCTGCATTAACACAGCTGATACAGTTGTTAATCAGTTACCAACTGAAATGAGCTGTGTTTAAGCAGGGACAAATCTCAAACATGCAGGACAGTGTGCCTTGAGGACCAGGCTTGAAAAACACTATTATTTTATGTTTCATATCTGAACGAAATGCATGTGGGTATTCTATTTTTGACTCATGTTCTTTTCTTATTTTTATACACAGGAGCACACTCTACAAAGGCCTTAGTGGGGATTTGCCGGACCTTTCTGTCCTTAGAGTAAGTAGTTGTATTTAAATTACTGATAAATAAAAATGAAATTAACAGTAGGCTACAATGTACTAACAAAGAGTTGTAGACTTACCGGTGTATTGAATAATTTTATTTTCAAGTGCTGTCTCTTTGTAAAGTGTAGAATTTTTGAGGGCTTAAAATTAGTTGATATACATGTATTTTACATTTTATTGAAATAATTGTTTTCACTTTCCCAGGTTTCCGAGGTGTATGAAGATTTTGCAGCAGCTGATGCACCAATGATCTGCAGCATGGGAATCAGCCATGAATTTCCCCTTGTTGACTCTGCCCTTGGCAAAGTTCAGGCTGGAAGTCCTCTGTCCTACCAACAGCCAGCAACAGCAAAGAGAGACATGTCCTTCCATGCTGCACCACCCCGCCCATCTCTGCCTCTTAAGAACTACCACCTACAGCCATCAAAAAGCATGTTTGTTTGTTCTGAACCACAACAGCTACACCTTAAAAGTATGGAGGTCACCTGGGACATGGTGAATAAATTTGAATGTGCTACCAGAGCACAGAGTACATGTCCTGAATGGCATCAGCTAAGGAGGCATAGGTTGACTGCCTCCCGCTTCAGGGAGATCTGCCAGGTTCAAGATAAATCTGAGGAAGATCTGGCAAATCGTCTGCTGCAAGGGACCTATCAGACTGCAGCTATGAAGAGAGGGCTTGAATTAGAGGCAGATGCTATCTGGGAATATTGTCAAATTAAAAGAGTCAACCACTATCCCTGTGGATTTGTGATTCACCCTGATGCTCCTTGGCTAGGGGCATCTCCAGACGGATTGATCTTTGATCCTTCTGAGCCATGTCAGTTCGGGCTGATTGAGATTAAGTGTCCAAATGTGAAAAGTTATGTTGACTGTCCATATCTCCAAATGAAGTCAGGCAAATTGGAACTAAAAAAAACTCATGTTTACTATTGGCAGGTTCAGGGGCAGATGCTAATAACTGGGATGAACTGGTGTGATTTTGTTGTCTCAGCTGAGGAAGATATTCTTATTCAAAGAATTTATGCAGACACTAATGTGATGGATTCAATCAAACACAAAGTAGACAGATATTTTTTCTATGTTTACCTGCAGAAATGTCTAAATTAGGAGTTTGATCAAATCAAATGTACAAATTTGTTTCAAAATATTTCCATCATGAATATCTATTTACAAATGTAAGACAATGTCAATGTAAGTAAATGACAGCATTTTCTGTTTCTTCAAGACTGTGCCATCAGCTTTTCTGTCAAACTTCATATCTCCATTTCCTGACCAAAGGTCCATTTTGGTAATTTGACAGGAGACAGGCAACTGTAAAAATTTGGTTTATGCTTCCTGCAATGGAGAGAGGGATAGTGGAATCAAAGAGTTTATTTTCTTTAACTCTTCTTATTAACCTCTCAACATGCACCCTCAAACGGGCAATGGACTGGGTCTTCAAAACGTCGACCTCTGACATTTGGGCCCTCTTGGAG